AAACGCCAATGTGGCTAAAAGCGCTATAAGTCATTCTGGATTTTTGGAAACTTCTGTCTTCACCTGATAAGCTCTCGTTCGGCATCCTGTATATCTTAATTCGTGCCATGAACTAAGAAGCATGAACTAAGAAGATTAGTTATTTTAGTTCATGGTAGATGTGTAAAATACTAATATGTTCACACATGTCTATCAATTTCTAAATTTAGCCCATAGATAGAATAGTTTTTATGAGTGTTATGACCACAATAAAAAATCCTAGGTAACCAAAAAAAATAATATTTTACAATATGTGAAGAATGTTATAATGGTAACAGGAAATTTGAATTGTAAGGCATCCCACCACTTATCTTGAGCCATTTCGACCACTGGTAGATACATGACATTTACAAAACATATTTATTTCATCAATTCCTATACGTGATAAAATTTTCCAAATATTTTGATTCGTTTTGATTAGTTAAAAAATACTGACATTTTAAATTTTAAATTTTTTTTGATTTTTTTTCTATAATTGTCAATAAAATGTTATTTGTTTGACCAATAAGTGTGACAATGTAATACAAGGGTCCTGATATATTGTTACAATAGAAGTTGAAAAATATTAAAAGTACATATAGTCACACATTTTTTATAAGGATTTAAAGTTCAATTTTTGACAAAATTTATCGAATTTAAAATTTAAAAATTATTTTGTAATTAAATATTTAAAAAATGTTTAACTTTTATGACTAAGGTTTGATAATTCAAAATAAAGTTCCACATTTAATAAATTACTTTAGGCACAATAATATCATCGAATATACTTAGTAATATCATAGGCTGACTGTTTGTCTTCGCTCAGAATCATTTTTCGTATACTATATCATTGAATTCGAATTTTTCGTATATTACATCATAGAATTCAAATTTAACACCATCCATTATAGTGACCTACTTGTAACGTACTGCACAGTACTACCTACTTGCTCACTTCTTTAAGTTTTTAACTGGTATTAGATAATTTGTACATGTTTGAGATTCAGACGAATACTGTCAAAGTTTGAACTTCAAAAATTAAAAATATCGTTATAATGTTTGAAATGTCCATAAGTACAACGTATTAACTTTTTTTAAATGTTCTAGATTTTTGACTGATCATAAACATTGAAAAAAAAATGAACAAATTCGAAAATATAAAATACTTTTGATGTATTGTAAATACATAGACTTTGAATACCTATATCATTCTGTTTAGCAAATGTGAATTTAAGAAATATTGAATGTGTCAAATTTGTCTACGATATGATTTTTTTTCTAAAAATAACAAAAAGGCATAAATGGTTTAAAGATAACCGTTATTATCAGTTTTTTTATTCAATGTTGTCAAAATCGAACTTAATTTACTCATAAAAAAATTAATGTACGATGTACGTATGCCAATTTATTTCCAGTGTAAAAAATCTTAAAGGTATCTTATATTAAATTGTAACCCTCAGATTTAAAAATTAAAAATTGTACGAATTGTCAACTTCAAAATAAATGACACATTTTTGTGAATTTTACGAATTTAGTAATAATTTGAAATGTATACGCTTAAAAAGTCGCTTATTTAAAATTTCTTTAAAGAGCTAAAATATTTTTAAAAACTACTAGTATTAAACAAACTTATAAGGAATTTCGTATTACATTTTCAAATCTTAGATTTAAAAGGAAATATTTTTAGGACTTTTTAACCCAAAATATTTTAATACATTTTCTTGATATTTACGTATTCTGTCAAAATTCAAACTTTAAATGCTCATATCAAAAAATTGTTACTGTAGTTTTTTAATTTTAAACTGTTATTGTAACAAAATATAATAAGCTTTTCATTAAACTTACAAGCTCAAAAACCCAACAAATAAAATTTAATTGCCTTGTATAGAAAAAAAAATAAAAAAAGGTGGGCAAGTGGGTGTCGCTCTGCTGTACAGTAGGTTACAAGTGGGTCACTGTATAATGGATGGTATTAAATTTGAATTCAATGATATAATATCATTGTATAAGAAAAACGATTCTGAGCGGTGACGGTATGTCAGTCTATGTATCAGACATATTATATACATATTTATGGTATTAAACAAAAAATTGACCTATAATAGGTACCTATAATAAATTCCATATTAATCATTTCACAATATCCATTAGATACTTATAACGCGTTATACATCAACAAAAACCGTGATACTATCATAGATATATAATAGTACACTTTATAAGTTTCAAGTACCCACGAATAATATTATTCAATCACAACAAAATAACAAAAATAGTTATTCTAGGTTTTTTAATATGTAATTTCGTCCAAATTTGAATTTAAAATGTCTGTAAAAAATAAGTGTGTTCATATATTTTTTAGATTTTTTGGTTATAGTATGAACTATTTATGAGAACCTTTGTGTTGAATTTGTAATCCTTAGCTATAAAAACTGAACATTTTATAATTTATTAATTACAATGATTGATAATTTTCGAGATTTTGAAAAATTCTGTCAAAATTCGATGTTTAAATGCTTATAAAAAAAAACTGTGCCTATGTATTTTTAATATTTTTCAACTGATATTGTAACAATATATCAGGATCCTTGTATTCATTTTTTACACTTTTTGGCCCAACAGATAAAACTTTATTGATATTCATAGAAAAAAAAACTAAAAAAATTGAAAAATGAAAATATCCGTAAATAGCTCAAAAAGAGTCAAAATATTTTCAAAATTGTATGGTGTATAGGAAATGCTAATATAAACATTCAGTGAAATTTGCATGTATCTATTCGTTTATGAATAACAACAAAATAAGGAAATCGTTACATGAGAAATCGAGTGAACATCCAATGTTGTAAAAATTTGAATTTCAAACGCTCATAAAAATTTAATTTGACTGTCTGGTAGAGATTTTTTATTGATAAAGGTAGACAAACTTATGAGTAATCTTGTATTACATTTTCAAATCTTAGATTTAAAAAGAAAAATTTTTACGAATTCTTAACTCAAAATAATTTGCTAATTTTCGTGATTTTTCCATATTTTGTCAATTTTTGAACTTTAAATGCTTATAAAAAAAAATTGTGACTAAGGATTTTTAATATTTTTCATCTGCCTTTGAAACAACATATTAGGAGCCTTCTATTAAATTTTCAAGCTTTCGCAACCAACAAATAAAATTTTATTGATATTTTTAGAAAAAAAACTAAAAAAAATGAAAAATGAAAATGTCCCTAAACAGTTCAAAATAAATCAAAATATTTTGAAAATGTTATCGTGTATAGAAAATGCAAATATAAACGACCAGTGAAAATTTCATGTATCTACGGTCATTTGTTTTAAAGTTACACCAAAAACCAAATTCGATTTTGTCAAAAACTGATTTTGCGTAAAAATTCCCGTTTTTCCTTAATTTTTATGTTGTTTTTCCCGGCGCTTGTGAAAACTATTGGGAATTTTAAATTTTGACCTCCCCAATGCACCAACGATATTCACTTTCCAATCGAACAAGATACTGAAGTCGAAAATCGAAGCATTATTTCGACTACTTATCGTGTACACAGACACAAAAAAAAAAAAATTAAAAAATTAAATAATTAAAAAAAAAAAAAAAAAACACACATCATTGTAAAATCAATACATTCATCGTTTCACTCAGAATCTAAAATTGGAAACTGAAAATGTCCGTAAACCGTGACTCAAAACAATTAGAAATATTTTAAAAATTGTATCGAGCATAACTAAAATTTCACGTATCTAAGGTTATTTTTTTATAGATTTGCACCAAACTCCAAAATTGATTTTGTCAAAAACTGATTTTCCGTAAAAGTTAAAGTTTCTTCTTAATGTTTGTTTTGTTTTCCCTGCACTTTTTAAAACTATTGAGAATTTCAAATTTTGGATATAAAAACTAGATTCACTTTCCCATCGAACAAGATATCGTTCAAGAAAATCGAAGAAGTGTTACTGACCCAAACATTAATGTCAGACAAAAAAAAATTATAAATTAATAAAAAATAAAGGTGCTAAAGTGGGTGTTGCTCTGCTGTACAGTAGGTTACAAGTGGATCACTGTAATGGATTGTATTACATTTGAATTCAATGAATAATATCAATTATCATTGTATAAGAAAAACGATTCTGATCGAAGACGGTTTGTCAGTCTGGATATTCTATATCGTTATTATATTTTCTTATAGCCTGTAAGTTGAATTATATTATAAACTACAACAAAATAACTAAAATCGTTATTTTTATTTTCATTTTTATTCGTTTTAATGGTGATAAACTGATAAACAAAGCGTTCGAAATTAAAATCTCATTTTTATTGGTTTTTTGTAATTTGTCGGTGGTTTTTCCCGTGGCATTAAATAACTATCGAGAAAATCAAAAAAATCGAAGAACCCTTTCTGGTAGAAATTTTGTATACAGGATACAAAAAAAAAAATAATAAACACCATTGTAAAACTGCTAGATCACTCACTCCGCACAAAATTTAAAACACATTGTATAATCAATACATTTATTGCTACGTTCTGAATTTAAAAGTATTTTAGAATACAAATACAAATAGGTAGGTTTAGCCCGGCTAAACCGTTTAGGTTAGGTTAGGTTATAAAATAGTATAATGTAATATTATATAATATTTTATAAAATATTTTTACCTTAAATATAAATCAAATGAACTGATTTTCATGTTTTACGTTAATTTTATATAACACATACAAGAATAAAATGTTTGAAAAATATTTTGATGTTTTAGGTATGTACATCTAATACGCATAGCTCATAAGTCATAATATAATAAATACTAATTATTAATAATGTATTATTTTTACGCTCCTACTCTTACATAATAATTTGACGAAATAAGATATTCTGCTTGTTTATTTTTAGTTATTTTATTTTTTTGCGCAGGTGTAGGACCTATAATTGGTTTTTTACCTACAATAGCGAAACAATTGGGGTACTCAATAACCACTTACGGTGTCGCTATGACTTTTATATCGAAGATAAAAATGGTAATGTCACCTGGTATTATCGTCGACACATTCCGGGTGAAAAGAACGTCAATTTTCACGATGCCCTTATTGCTGGTTGTGATTTCAATTGTCTTCATGTTTGTACCAAAAGTGCCTTTGGAGACAGGAGTGGAAATGAAATGCGAATCTGAAATTATTTTCATTGTGCATACCGATACCGTTCAACAAAATACGCACAACACGTCGATGTTTAATGACGAGAACAATGATGAATTGATCACATGCAAGGTGAGACTAAACAATATTATAAAAAAATATTAAAATGTGTATGGACTTGGAACCGTTTTGGGCATAATTCTAGTTTAGCAACCTATCGATTTTTTAGATTTTGTTTTTTTTTAAATATGTGTTTTTAGGTGCTTTATAAGAATCTAAAATAAAAAAAGGCCGGATGGACTTCGTTTGGAAGTTATCGGCGAAAAACTTCAAAAAGTAGAATTTTTTTAAAACGCAAATTCATAATATATTTTCAAGTGCAATCAAACGTTAAGAATAAGGACGTTCGTGAAACTTTTTCCCGAAGTTAGTATAGATTTGGCAGTTCACTATACAAGGTGATTTTTTAAGCATGCTCACCCCATTTTTATGCTTAAATTATGCATATATTCAAATTCTGATTTTACATAGTTTAAAGTTGTTTAAAAAACAACATTTTTATTAAAAAATTATTTTTTTAAATATTTTTTTACTTATAATTTTTTAAGTTTTTTACTTTTTTGAATGACAGTATAGAGTTTTAATTTCATATTCCAAAATGGAATATTTTTCTAAGTATTTTGATACATAAAAGTCGAATTTCGGACGAGTAGTTTAAGAGTTATAAGAATTTAAAGTTTAGATGACCGGAGTGGAGTGGTACGGGGTTACCCCGCAAAATGTTTGTCCACTATTCTGCTTGTCTAAACTTTAAATACTTATAACTCATAAACTACTCGTCCGAAATTCGATTTTTATGTATAAAAATACCTACAAAAATATTCCATTTTGGAATATGAAATTAAAACTCTATGTTGTCATTCAAAAAATTAAAAAAATTAAACAATTATAAGGATAAAAAATGTTTAAAAATATAATTTTTTAATAAAAATATTGTTTTCTATATGACTTTAAAGTATGTAAAATCAGAATTTGAATATATGCATAATTTAAGCATAAAAATGGGGTGAGCATGCTTAAAAAATCACCTTGTATACGTATGTACTGCCGTATAACATATTTAAATTGGTATTACATTTTTAACAAAATAAAGTTAATAGTTTAATAAATATTATGTAGGTACCTCGTACACCGTTTTAGCAGTCTGTGGAACCGTGGTCGGTTGAACACCTAAAAAATAAATACGAAATAGGTATTATAATTATTATACTATCTAACTATTATGGGTACTGATTATATTTACAATATACATAATAATATATTATAATATGGGCAGTGGTTAAACTGGTTAAAATGAGGTGAGGCGAGATTAGATGCCCTAGAGGTTTGGAGAACAAAATATTGAATCTCATATCGATGAATGAGAGTTGAGATACATTGGTACCACGAATTAAAATATACAGGATACGGAACGCGGAAAGGTCTTATCAATGTTTTCTGAGTCCGCCCGTTTATCACTATTTAGCATGACGACTGGAGCTTTATAGGATTGTTCTGTGTTGACCGTAAGAACAATAGGAACTAAACGACAATAGTTCATTATTCTCCCGGCCAACACAGAACAATCATATATAATATAAAGTGATAGTTGTCAAGAAGGTTCGGGCTTCACTCATCACACTTTCGTTCGGTATATCCTGTATACTATTTTAATTCGTGATCGGTACCTACCTAAGTCAACAGCAAAATTCAGATTATTAATTCATAACAACATATTTTTATTAAATGTCGAAAGTCGTTATCTCGTATTTTTCGTGACACCTAACTCAATTGAAATCCCCTTCAAATAATTAAAATTGCAATGAAACTCGTCACTAGATATTTCAACATTTTTGATAGCTCAAACTGCAGTGTCTCTTTGGTTTTGACATAACGAAATTTTACTGTATTGTTAGTGGCGTAATGAACCGCATGATTTACATTGGTACTTTATATTTATAATATTATAATAATATGTAAGGTACATACTCCAACCTTCTTTAACACCGGCTTTATTATAAGATTTTGCTGTGGCTTTTGCACCACCACACCAGGCTTAGTGATTACGGGTACGTCTGCCACATCGCGTTTAATTCTGTCAGAAGTAGATTTTCTACAACTTTCAAATGCCGTTACACGCGAGACAGGCTAAAAAATCAATAATCATTTTTCATCGAAAACTATATATAGATTGTACTGTACTGCATTGTGCGTGGCGTAATGAACCACATGATTTTAAAAATATTTTAAAAATATTTTGACTCTTTTCGAGCTGTTTACGGACATTTTCAGTTTTCAATTTTTTTAGTTTTTTTTTCTATAAATATCAATAAAGTTTTATCTATTGGTCCAAAAAGTGTAAAAATTTAATCTCGTGATTTATTGTTACAAAATTAGTTGAAAAATATTAAAAATACATATTCACAGTTTTTTTTTATAAGCATTTGAAGATCGAATGTTGACAAAATTTATCAAATTTTAAATTTAATAATTATTTTGTAGTTAAAAATTTATAAAATGTTCAACTTTTATATCTAAGGATTGAACATTTATAAAAAATTCCACGTAAGTAGTTAATTCTGTTACCAAAAAATCTAAAAAATACATAAGCACAGTTTATTTTTATAGTCATTTTAAGTTCAAATTTGGACGAAATTACATAAAAAAAAACCTAGAATAACCATTTTAGTTATTTTGTTGTGATTGTATAATATTAATCGTGGGTACTTGAAACTTCTAAAGTACGTACACTATTATATATCTATGATAATATCAGGGTTTGTTGTTGGTGTATAACGCGTTATAAGTACCTAATGGATATTGTGATATGATTAATTTGGAATTTATTATAGATCATTTTTTTTTAATACCATTGATAAGTATATAATATGCCTTATACCTAGACTGACATACCGTCTCCGCTCAGAATCGTTTTTCTTATAAAATTATATTATATCATTGAATTCAAATTTAATACTATCCATTATACAGTGACCCACTTGTAACCTACTGTACAGCAGAGCACCTTTTTTTTCTTATAAATATCGAAAAAAAATTTAATACAAGGTCTCTAATAAGTTGTTATAATAGCAGTTAAAATACAATAAAGATAAGGAGGCATGGATTTTTTTTTATAATCATTTAAAGTTCAAATGTTGTCAAAATTTATAAAAATCTAGAAAATTTTTAAATTATTTTTAAATTAAAAATTTTTAAATTTTTCAATTTTTATAGCTAAATAGATTGATAATTTAGAACAAAGTTTCTACAAATAGTTCATAGTGTTACCAAAAAATATATAGACACGGTTTCAATTTCAAATTTCAAGTCAAATAATATGCATGTTTTGTCATTTTTGTGAAACAGCAATGATTCAGTGGTATTATGGTCTATGACTTTTATATTATATTTTAATATTATACGTTTTATAGATTAAAATATGTATTGTTAAATAATGTGATTAATAGTATATGTTAAATATAAATTATTTTACTGTGTACAGTGATTAGTGGTGTATAATATTATATCCCTCACCTGAAATTAATTAAAACAATTGTATATTCCCACAAGAATAAAATTATAGCTACGCCATTGCTACAAGTATAATACTGTTTGACCAACTATTTATAATTAAACTTTCGAGATATACCTGCCTATATATTATAGTTATTTCGATCATTAGTAAGTGTGGGCAAGTGGGTGTCGCTCTGCTGTGCAGTAGGTTACAAGTGGGTCACTGTATAATGGATGATATTAAATTTGAATTCAACGATATAATATCATTGTATAAGAAAAACGATTCTGAGCGGAGACGGTATGTCAGTCTATGTATAAGACATATTATATACATATCTATGGTATTAAACAAAAAATTGACCTATAATAGGTACCTATAATAAATTCCAAATTAATCATATCACAATATCCATTAGGTACTGGTAACGCGTTATACATCAACAAAAACCGTGATACTATCATAGATATATAATAGTACACTTTAGAAGTTTCAAGTACCCACGAATAATATTATTCAATCACAACAAAATAACTAAAATAGTTATTCTAGGTTTTTTAATATGTAATTTCGTCCAAATTTGAATTTAAAATGTCTGTAAAAAATAACTGTGTTCGTATATTTTTTAGATTTTTTGGTTACAGTTTGAACTATTTACGAGAACCTTTGTGTTGAATTTGCAATCCTTAGCTATAAAAACTGAACATTTAATAATTTTATAATTTTACAATTATTGATAATTTTCGAGATTTTGATAAATTTTGTCAAAATTTGATCTTTAAATGCTTATAAAAAAAAACTGTGCCTACGTATTTTTAATATTTTTCAACTGATATTGTAACAATATATCAGTATTAAATTTTTACACTTTTTGGCCCAACAGATAAAACTTTATTGATATTTATAGAAAAAAAAACTAAAAAAAATTGAAAGCTGTAAATGTCCATAAACAGCTCAAAAATAGTCAAAATATTTTCAAAATTGTATGGTGTATAGGAAATGCTAATATAAACATTCAGTGAAATTTTCATGTATCTAAAGTTATTCGTTTTTGAATTACAACAAAATAAGGAAATTGCTACATGAGAAATCGAGTGAACATCCAATATGTTGTAAAAATTTGAATTTTAAACGCTCATAAAAATTTAATTTGACCTTCCGGTAGAGATTTTTTTTATTGATAAAGGTAGACAAACTTATGAGTAATCTTGTATTACATTTTCAAATCTTAGATTTAAAAAGAAAAATTTTTACGAGTTCTTAACTCAAAATAATTAGCTAATTTTCGTGATTTTTCCATATTTTTACAATTTTTGAACTTTAAATGCTTATAAAAAAAAATTGTGACTAAGGATTTTTAATATTTTTCATCTGCTTTTGAAACAATATATTAGGAGCCTTCTATTAAATTTTCAAGCTTTCGCAACCAACAAATAAAATTTTATTGATATTTTTAGAAAAAAAACTAAAAAAAAAAATGGAAAATGAAAATGTCCCTAAACAGTTCAAAATAAATCAAAATATTTTGAAAATGTTATCGTGTATAGAAAATGCAAATATAAGCAACCAGTGAAAATTGCATGTATATACGTTCATTTGTTTTAGAGTTACA